TTCACCGTAGCTGCTGCCGCCGTGCTGTCCACCGTAGCTGCTGCTGCCGTTTGTCCCGCCGATTCGGGTGGTGAGCAAGGCCGTGCTACCGGGGTCAGCAGGGTTTGACCGCTGACGATCCAAGAGCATGAGAGCCGATCGAACCTGAAGAAAATTCGGCATAGGATCCTGAAACTGCATGAACGAGGTCTGGCCTTGAAGATCTGCGGGAAGCCCTCGGAGCATCTGAAGAACGAGTTGGTGTTGAGAAACCGGTGCATCAACATCGTCCAACCAATCGGCAAGATTTTGGAGCCGTTGGCAATAGGCCGCCATGGAGGTGGAGCCCTTGACGGTGGTACGAAATTCATGTTCCAACTGCATGGCGCGGGCATGTTTGTTATCATGAAAGAGGTCATGAATGACCTTCCAGAGAGCAGAGGCGGTGGTGAGAGAAGAGATGATCAGATCTGACACTTCATCAGTGATGGTGGAGAGAATCCAACCTTGGAGAAGAGCATCAAGTTGGCACCATTCGTCGTCGTCGTCAGAGAGAGGGACGACAGATCCATCAAGGTATCCTTGAAGTTTGAAACGCCGAACAAGGAGAAGAAAAAGACTACTCCACTTTTTGTAGTTTGGTTGAGAAAGACTGAGTTGGACAGGAACATGCAACTTGACATTAGAGATGGTTGTGAGAGCAAGATGCGGGGTTGTGGAGGGTGTAGTTTGGGAAGTGATTTCACTATTTTCGGCCATGGTGAGAGATGGGGGAGAGGACCGCCGGGAGAGAGGAGAGAACGCCGGTGGAGGGCCGCCGAGGAGAGGGGCGGCGCTGGTAGAGAGAGGCCGAACGAGAGAGAGAGAATTGGGAGATTAGGGTTTAGGGTTTTTAGGCTTTGATACCATGTAGAAAGAATATTTTCATTGAATAATTGTGTAGAGAATACATCAATATATAGTAGAGGCTTCAATCCTAATCATAGTAGGAGAGCCATATTTAGGAAACCTATACAAGTGTGGTAACACAATAATTACAAGAATAATAAATATAATTAATATATTTAGCATTTTGAAGTAGATTGATGGGTGTATTCTTACCCGGGAACCGAACCGAGATCAATTGCTAGAGTGGCTGACTGGTTAACCCGGAATAGCTCATTTAGAGGAAACTAAGGGAAACAAGAATAGATCGGGTGGGAACAACCACCCAGGTGGATTTCATACCCTTGTTGTCAGACACTCAGGGAATATATCAAGGAGTCTAACCGAGTGGCCTTATCCACCCGGGTAATTTATCGAGGATCACGCGTATCCATAGCTCAACATATTTTAGAAAGTAGCTCTAGGGACCCTTTGCACCGAAGGATATGTCCAAGTATTACACGATAAACTGCTTGATTGGCAATAAAAAAACAAGACAAACAAGATAAATACCAGTCACCTCATCACATGGCCCAACAAGATCAAGTGGCGTCCCTGTTTCCCCTATTCCCACTATAATACTCATGTAACCCTCAAAGATAGGGATCTAATTTTTCTCTCTAAAAGAGCATTGTAAAATCATTCTCCAATATTCAATAACAATTGGACTGCAGGGTTTCCACCTACGATCCTGCCGGTCACTCTGTGTGTTTTTAGGCTTTTATTCTCTTAAACTCAGCAAGTTATCTTAGGCTCGATTTAGAGTAGTTTGCCCGGGTATATAATTTACACCATGATAGATATATCATAATCAAATTTGAAAAGATCTTTAGAATATAAATTCAGGGTTATAGAAACTTTAAAATTGTCTAAATTTTTTACTAAAACACTATTCATAATTTATCTAATTATAATAGAAACACTTCATTTTTTTAGTTTCATTACATATTTTTATTTTAAAATCACGTGGAGGGGGTAATTATAGCGCATCCAAGCTATTTTTTGCAATTAATTACCAACTCATACTTAATAACTATCCATTCACCATTTAAAATACCATATATTCAGCATAGTTGGCAATCTGGAATGCTAGTATAAAATTGAATAATTTCTGAGAAAAGTGGTGTAATTTATTGACTTTCAGAGTATTAATGTAAAATCATTAATTTCTTGGAATATTCATGTGATTTTTTCCTAAAAGATACACAAAATTTTTCCTAACATTTTTTATACGGTAACAAGATACTTTATTAGAAAAACAGAACAAATCTAGGTCTGGAGGAATCCCACACCGGAGCTACAACAACAACGTTCCTAGAAATGGCATGAGCATTGAGCAGCCCCCGTATTCACGGATAAAACTAACAGAAATAGTATCAAAGAAACTTATCTCTCCTCTCATAAGTACCCCCCGCGGGCATTCATCATCATCATGCCTCTGGAATATTGAATGCCATTCATAAACGTCCAACACATCATATTGTAATTGCCCTTGAGCCCAGGTGTTAAATTGAAACACCTCCTCATGCACTCCAATCCTCTTACCATTTTACCATGTAGCTGGTAATGCGAAGCCAGTACAAACCATATTTCTGCAACCTGGCCCCTTTTCTCTCTTGTCCAAGCTTCTGCCATTTCCTCTGCTTTCAAAAAGAAACATTTTTTACAATACCCCTCAATGATCAACTTAGGAATGTTCAAATTGTCGCAACTACTACTACGCCGATTGTCTGATGCTTCTTCCCACTCTGTCACCATCTTCCTAGCCTCATTTAACTCCCCCAACTCGACTAGTGTCTTGATAATATTCTCATAATCCACATGTAAGGGTTGAGTTGAGTTGTCATGTTGTACCACCGAACAAGGGATTGGATTGACTTGTAAAAATGGGGTGCAGCGCAAGGGAAAGAACGCTCCACACTCTTCCAAGTATTTGAAAAACAACGTCGGCAGGATCGGGTGAACTTGTTGGGAAGCATGGCGAGTTACCCCCCACCAAAAGCATTTAAATGCTTGTAACACATCACCAACTCTAAGGTATTCTTTACAAAGTTAACGTGAGAGTTTGTCGACATCAACCTTTTCCCCTCCTATTCTAGACCATGCCTGAATTTTATTGAATGCCTCTTGAAATTTACCACTTTTGATGTACTCCTCAATGATTGTGTAGGGAATGCTAATAGGATCCACAGGGTCCATACAATTATTACTTATTCCTTCCCACTTCTTGACAAACTTCATGGCCTCATCAAACTCACCAAGCTTCAACAGTGACTTTATCACATTCTCATAATCATCGGTATAAAGCAGATAATTGGGGCTTTTTCTTCTTCTTCTTCTTCTTCTTCTTCTTCTTCTTCTTCTTCTAATATCCTCATTTTGTAATATCACCCTAGCCTTTTCAAGAGCATTGGCGGCCTTATCTACAAGGAATTATCTATCATAGAAGTCGGCTACCACGGCGTAAGTACACCAGTCCATGACAATGTGGGGTTGAGTCTCCATTTCTCTCAGCATTCTCTCCATCCCATCCACATCATAGTATAACCCAAATGAACTAATGCGGATTCTATAACTATCATTATCGGGTGAAACCCCGCTCTTCTTCATCTCGGCCCACCCCTCAAGGACCTCCTTAGGTTTGCCCTGAATGCGCATGATTTCATTGAAGGGGCAAGGTGACAATGCAAAACCCAACTCTTTCATCCTTTGAAGATGCAATAAAGGACTTAACCATATGCCTGCTCTTTGACTGTGTTCATGCACATAACAACCAATGACTTCTCCGTATGTCTTGTCATTTCTAGCTTGTTTTGGCAAGTTCTTGGCATAGCGCTCCGCAGCACAACTTCCACGAACCTTACATATCAAGCTGAACTGGACAGCATAGTCACTAGATGAGAATTTATAAATACCCTTCTTTCTCATCCATTCACAAACCTGCAACCGGCACCAAAAGCTAAACACTATCAGAAATGCACAGCTTATATCTTTCCATTGAATCAAACACAGCGATTTAGATTAAATATCATTTCGTATACTTCTGATAACTTTGCAAAATATTAAGATTAACACGAGCTAGATTCAAACCTGAATATCAAAGTTAACATGCTTGTTCCGTTTCACACAAAATAAAAAGAATGATAATATTTCATCACCTTCAATTCTTAATACAGGAGAGCAACTTGAAACCTTTGAAACAAAAGCATTCAAGACACATCGTCGTCTGATACTTAAGAAGACGACACTAGGATCAACTTTAGTGGGAAGGGAATGCTTTAGGAGCAACTTTTGTGATATACGGGTATATGTTGTTATTAAAACTAAATAATTTTATTTTTTTTAAATAAATTATCTTGATTCACTATATTAAAAATTACGGGTTGATTCACGTGTCATTGAGATCAATGTCATAACATGACCCAAACCTCCTGTGGGGATCCGTTGGTAAATTTATAGTTCCTACCCCTAACCCCAGCACCCTCCTCCCCCCTCATTTCGTTGATTTGCTATAGTGGTCACTCTAGGAAATCGGTGAAATTTGGGGGGGGGGGAGAGGGGGGAGGAAACATCAATTTACCAACGGAGTCCCGCAGGAGGCTCGAGACATGCTATGACATTCAAAGTGAATGTCACATGAATTGTCTCGTAAAAATTATATAGAAAAACTAAATTTATGTTATGTGAGGCTCCCCATATAAAAAGAGAAGGAAAAGTGTGAGGAATAACGGTTTTTTTACATAGAAAGTAGCCGAACTTTGCGCATTGTAACGAAAAGTACCTCATCTTCAGTTTGTAACAAAACGGTACCCCATTTTTGAAAAAAGTAACAAAAAGGTATCCATTGCCAATTTTAAGAATCCGGCCAGTGAGTACAGATGTAGCGTTCTACTTAGCTTTCTTGTGTACATGTGACATTCCATATGACTTCCAAGTTAACTTGTAATTTATCTAATATTTTATTAACTTTGTATTTGACACGTATAAAGTCAATTTTTTTTAAAAAAAATTAAAATTTATTTTATTTATACTCCGTAAAATAATTTAATGTTTTTCTTGAAATATACTTCGTAAAATATACTTTCATTACAAGAATAACATTAAATTGTATAAATAAAATAAATTTTAATTGTCTTTTAAAAAAAATTGTGTACCTTTTCATATTTAGTCCAAATATATCAAATATTATGTTTGCAATCCTTATTGATTGGGTACCTTTTCACGTTTAGTCCTTGTCTAACTGCACAGAGACGGAAAAATAGACGCAGACGTGGAATGAATATACTCCCTCCGTCCCACTGTTTTTGTCCACTTACCTTTTGGCACACCATCCAATGCACTTCTTTAATCTATTTTATCTTGTGATTTGTATATTAAAAAATTATAAAAATTATATATTAATAATCTATATGCTAAGACGAATCAAACATGATCACACATGACTATTTTTAGGCTTACACATTGAGAGAATTTAATGAGTCATAGTGCTTAGATGAACAGTTCCAAAAGTCAAAAGTGGACAAAAATAATGGGACGGAGGTAGTAATTAATAAGGAATGTCACCAGAATATTTGATAAATATGGACTAAATATAAAAAATTTCTAATTATAAAGGGCTATTTTGAGAATGTCAAAAATGCTAGGAATACAACAAAATGTATGCTCCAATCGTACTCTAATTTTTCTCCACCATATAATCTTAGTGTTGATAACAAAGTTAAACAAATGGATAAGAAATGTATGATGAGAAAAGAGTACAGCATTTGGTGTACCCCTCTACGTTTTCTTCCATATCTTTAAGAGTTTTTCTAGAGGTACCCCACCTAGGAAAAAAGAAATACACACACTTAATATCCCTGCACATATATTGATGCACATATATTGAGTGTCTGTCTGTTTTTGACTTGATGTATACCTGATGTCCACCAAGTGGGGTACCCGTGTATTTTCCTATTAATCAATATATGTTTTTGTCCCATATAAAATGACCTATTCAGGTTTAAATTATTTGACTTAAGTTATTTTCCATTCAATTTACAAAATAATTTGGAACTAATAAAAAATTAAATCTATATATTTAAAAACTATATCAAAAGATTTAGTAAATAAGTGATGACATGATATATATATATATATATATATATATATATATATATATATATGATATATATATTAATCTCTCTCTCTAGTTTCTCTCTCTAAAATTCTCTCCTACATGTCCACCGCCTTAGGGGCGGCGGCCTCTGGGTCGTCGTCCAAACCTCCGGCTACCACACCTCTCTTGTCTTCTTCATCAGCTACCAAGAGCTTCAAAGAAGCTGTTTGTCCCTCATCGCCTCAAATACAATCCAAGGAAATTGAAAAATTTAAAGGATTGCCCTGCATATCCTTCTCAAATGAAGAAATTCTATCCCTTGCAGCCAAGTTTCAGTTTGCACTGGTGGGCAGTTTCTTTGGGAAAAGGCCACCTCTGGAGATCATACGCAGTTGGCTGGAGAAAATTGGATTTGTTGGCTTCTCTGTTGGCCTCCTCCACCCCTCACATGTGCTAATCAACTTCTCCTCTGAAAAGGATTACCAGAGAGGGAGCTACCATGAGCATCACCAAATGGACCACTGACTTTGATCCCTCCAAGGTAACTCCAATCATCCCTGTCTGGATTTCCATAGCTAATCTGCCCATCCACCTGATAAAAGAGCCTTGATGTCTATTGCAAATATTTTTGGGAAGCCTATCAAACTGGACTCAACTACAGAAAACTTCAATAGGCCTTCAGTGGCCAGATTCTGTGTTGAAATGAATCTCTCTAGCATGCCCCAAAACTCCTTTTATGTTAAGAATGGAGATAACCCATTACTTTTGCAAGCAGAATTTGAAAACCTCCCTTCCTTCTGTAAAACCTGTAGAGGTATAAACAGGCATTCAGCCTCCTGCAAGCACTTTTCCCCTCCAATGGTGAAGATCCCCTTGCCAAACAGCAACCAGACAAGCTCCTCAAAACAATCTGCTCAAAATCAGTTGGCCCAGGTCCCCAACTCCTCCAAACAGCCTCAATCCAAAAAGCCTTCAGTCAATAACCCCACCACCCTGTCTATTCTTAACAGACCTGTCAACCCTAAAACCACAGCCACAGATCTTGC